TTTAATTCATCCAAAGTTTAATCTTTAATCATTATACTTGTTTTCATATGTAATTTCTCTAAGCTTGTTCATATTTTGGTATTTTGACTGTTTTTTTTTTGTTTTTTTCTTGGGTAACGACATTTGAAACTATATTTCCCGAGAATATTAAGCGCAATACCATAATATTGTGATAACAGGAGTAAATTGAAATAGTTATTTAAATTTTTACGATGAACGACGGTTTTGTTTAAGTTCAATTGTAAAGCTTCAGTTTATAAAATATTAACCTTATCCGCTTTCTCTATTTTCTAGTTTTAGTTTTCCTATGATTCTAGCATAAGATGCTATATATTTATTGTAATAATATATAAAAATTGGCACAATTATCGTTTGTTGATGTAATAATATTTTATATCAATCAATATATCGAGTGCTATTGTTTATAAAAGTGAACAATGATTGATGTTTTTTTTAGCTAGGGTTTCAGAAATATTAAAATTAAATTAAAAAATAAATATAAAAAATTAAAAATGTTTATGATTTCTTCTTCCATTCCCCCTTATTCCGGTGGCCTTATTGGGTCGCCTTCTTGTGAGGTTGAAATGTGCTAGACCTACTGTTTCTTTCCACCTATACACAAATTATTCGTCGTATGGATTATTTCTTTCTATCAATAGTTGAGGGAAATCGTTCTCTGTGAGAACATAGGAACCGGTCTCCGTCAGCAGATCGTCTTTGCGACTCAAAGGCGATGAATTTGAGCTTAATATGCTTAGCAATCTCCGAGATCCCGAAATTAGGGCACACGGAATCGATATAAGGCCAAAGAGCTTGGCTCGAAAGACTCCATGCCCTGTGAGGAATTGCGAGATCCTGTAATCCGGGAAGACCAACTTAGCCCAAAACTGCCTGAATGGTATAGAAGTACTTCCACATGGTCCCCTTTCTGGCTTGTCACCAATGGTTGATTTGGCTCATTCTTGTATGTATAATTTAACATATTGTCTTGCAGGTGAAGTTCGAGTGGCACCCCTCCCACTAATACCAGAACCGACACTGAGACATACGTATCGCCTCAGAGCGTATCGGATCTGTGACTCGCAGCAGAGCCGTTCACTGGATTGTCGCCAACTTGCTCTTCTGTTGGTGCGAGAAGTTCCGATTCCAGGTGAGGATGCGTATATCAGAGTACCTACAACCATTTATTAACGTATTTATTTTAAGTGGTCATTGTTACTGGGTAAGTATGGCCGTTCAGAGATTGGGTCGCCCTAATTTGAAGATAGTCCAAGTAAGAGGTGACTTTGAATCCTCTTCCAAAACTTACACAAAGATTAGTGACCACCTCACGGACGCATTTTTGTCCCTTGAAACCTTGTATTGATTGGGTGTGGTCTATCAATTTTTCTTTCAAGAGAATGACTAAATCTTTGAAGCAGCCATCTATTTCTCTTCCTCTCGCACCATTCTCCAATCAAGTTGGTGCACCGTTCTGCCTGTGGTTTTAAGCCTGCTCTGCTGTTGGAGGGCACTATGGCCAAATTATCTGCATAGCCAGTGGTAGTAAACCGCTCCTCTTCTAGCATTCTCAGCAACACGTCAAATATTAGCTTATACAGGGCAGGGTTAATATTATAGATAACATACTAATATTAATTTTAACAAAGCTTTCGAAAACTTGGATTCGAGTATTATCTTGTTTACTGGATTATCTTTTTATTCATACTCTCAGTTTCTTTTGTTTTCTGTCATTCTTAATATCCATAATTAATTTAATCAGTTTTTAACAACTATATGTTAATCATTCTTTTTCAGATAATTTCAATTCCCTGTTGAATATTAGTTTTATTTTGAATATGGAGGAATTTGATAAACGTAGATGGATTTATATGTAAGAGGTATGAATGAACGAAGATTTATTCATAATCAAAGACCAATTTTCACCGATGTTTTAAACCTTCATCGTTTCTAAAAATTCAGCATGAACCAGCTTAAATATTATTATTTATCGGTTTATTAAAAAGTTAAAATATAATTTCTTGTGGAATAATTAATTTATAACTAAATCTTTAGAGGAATAGCCATTGTCTCTTAATACAGGTATATTAAGCTATTAAGAAATAATTTTCTTTATCTTACTAGACAAATTTGATCCTATCTTCAGCTGCATTTTAATTAATTGATATCATTACTAAGTACAACAATAAATGTATATTCGTATTCATCACCACAGAATAAAATAAATAAAAAAACTATCAACTTTACGGAAATAGTGAATTCTTCTTATTTAGTTTGGTATATATTTGATCATCGAAGATTATATTAATGTGATTAAAATGCGAATTCGCCAATTTAATAGATAAGGTTAAAATGAGTTTTTTTATAGGATAAAGTGGTTATTGATAAACGGTTTTTACGGTTTTACCGTAAGATGTTTAATATTTGTTAGACATATATAATTTAACGTATGAAATATTTTCGTGATTTGGAATTTTCACAAATATCAGAGGAACGAAGAAAATTATATAATTAAAAAGATTTTTCTAATCTTTTATTTTGGTTGATAAACAGCCGAAAGCGTGGTAAATTATGAGTTATTTTCACTAAAACATAGTTCTACTATTAAAATATTTTCTCCATAGGAAGCCAATTATTGTTACTAATAATACAAATATAAAAACATCCTAAGAGATTATAGCTGATATTTAAAAAATCTACTGAATATCAATATTATTAGTTAATAGGTTAATGCTGATCACTAGCGAATCCAGGATTTAAATTTATGAGGGGACTGCAGCCCGATAGGTTTTTTTTTTTTCATTAATATATATATATATATATATATATATATATATATATATATATATATATAACGATAATTACTTTGAAAAAAAAAACTAATTACCTATATGAAATAGTGTTTAAGTGATACTTGAAGTCCTATTAAATGTAATTAGTCACACGAACAATAATACTTTAAGAGATATTTTTTTCTATAAAACAAGGTTACATTTTAGCATTTTTTGGAGGGGAAGAAAGGAGGAGGGGGCTTCAGCCCGAAAGTTCCCCTCTCCTCCCCCTCTTCTCCCGTAGATCCGCCTGTGATGCTGATTTCTTATTAAGTCCAATCCCAGGATTCTCCGGCAGTTACGAAACTACTCCTCCAGATCTGTCCTCGACGATTGCCCCTGAGCGGCGAAGTCATAATTTTCTTATTATACAGACTTTCTAAAATTTATAATCTATATATATATATATATATATATATATATATATATATATATATATATATATATATATGTATTAAAATCTACAATCACATCAAATTGATTTAATTTAGAAAAAGTTTTGATTCTCTGAGTACCAAGGTTCTTATGGAACGCTAGGGGGGAGAGAGGGTTCTTAAGTACCGTGCGTGTTCTCTAAGGGCCCTACATATTTATTTTTGTTTTAAATTCTTATTAATGAATAGAAAATTGGTACTTACTCATGTTTTGAGTGTTTTCATAAATTTCCAAACTCCAAAAATAAATAAAAATCTTGCTTTTCCCTTAGGTCGTGTGATCCTTAATAAAAATAATATCTTAAAAATTCAAATTACCAACATTTTTCAAATCTAGCTGCTAGTTAATTAAGGTTATAAGAATTTAAAATAGAAAAGTTTTATAGTAAAAAATAATCAGTCAATTGAATCAATTCCCTTTTCTTACTAAGCAAAAATACATCGAATAGAGATCCTTGTCTATCTGAGTTTTAAGAAAAGCACTTTGCAGATACAAAAAAAAAAAAAAGAAAAAAAAACTGGAGTATTTTGAGTTCATCAATTTGTAAGGCAGTGCTGTTTATTCGTCAAAGGTTGAACGAAGAAGTAATTTGACTAAGACCACGCTTAACTACTGGATTTTCTTCCTTAATGAACAGCTATTTCTCAGATTTAACCCTTAATTTTCTTTATTTTTTAAACTTATCGGTCTTATTTCGAATAACATCATCACCTTGTTTTTGCTATTGCTTTATTTTTAAATTTGTTAAAATGTTTTGTCTTCTTTTTCATTTCATATAATATCCTGTGATAGTCTGGAAGAGGAACAAGCTAATGGAAAAATTGACCATTTAAGTTTTTAAATAAAAATATTAAGAGTTAAATCTGAGTAATTGTAATTAAGTAAAAAGTATTGTATTAAAGTTTACAAAACCTTAGAATAATAAATCTGAATTATTGTGAGTACCCATTATACAGAGACTGGGTGTGTCTTATAAAAGTCTTCATACCCCATGGTCGATCCTCGACTGATATAACAGAATTAATAATTATCTGCCACAACGGAATCGAAATTGCGACCCGAAGCATATTATTATTGAACAGCACCCTGAAGAATATGAACATCTCCTCACGTTCAATAACCACTTCATAAGAAACATTGAAGTAAATTAATTAGTTATTAATCATTCGGATAAAAAGTTTATAGTTGTTTTATAGTTATTAATCATAGTTGTTTATAGTTAATAGATAATTTAAAGCTAAATAATTTTAGATTATAATTGGAAAAATCCCACCACTCAGCCTTATAACTCTAAAATACTGCTAAAGACACGCTTAATTTTCAAGGCTTTTTTTCTCGTTTATAGTAATAATTAAATAATGTAATTTTGGGAAATTTTAGATTGATACAGTATTTCTCAGTATGCAGCTTTTTTCTTAATTTTTTTTTAAAAATTAATACCATTTTTGTAAAAAGGTATTATGACAAATATTTTTATAAGTTTATTATAAAATTATTTCATTTAAAAATAAACAACAAAGTCTGTGAGACCAAAGGGTTGTTGAAAGAACTCTCGTTTTCGAGAAATATTTTTGTGCCGTTTCTTAATTTCCCCAATAGCTTCATAAACTTCATTGGATTTGGTATTTAATGATTTATTTTAATCTTATTACAAAATTATAAATGCATGGGGGCCTCAAAAACTTTCATGGTGAAGAGAGGGGTAAAAAGAATTTTTATTTTAGTAAAACTCACTTTGAACTGTAGGTTGGCCATGTTTGCTGTAAGGTTGCTGTGGTTATACTGCTGAGGTAGCCATTGCTAGTTTCCCCGAGATAGATATTGCTCTTGCGATAAGTTAAATGTCCTTTTGTAACTTGAGTGACTTATTGCTTTCGGCGCTGTTTATGGTCAATATAAGAAACTGTTGAGAGGATTTCAAAAAGAGTCCTTAAATTTCGAATACCCTTAAGCATTTTATGAAACACTATGTTAAATAATTTTTGCTTACAATGACCTGAATAACAAAATATTTTTTCTTTTTTCTTTTAGGAATAGCTACCACGTCACAAAACATTCAACTAGATTATATTTCATATAGCTATTCCAGATGAATATTACTATATTAATTACTTCATTTATTAATTATTAATATTAATATCAAATATTAGAGACTGATCTCTAGAAAACAATACACAAATTATCAGTTAGAATTCTTAAAGTTTTTTAATTTATAAGCGCGGGCGAAGCCATAATGGGACACGCTATTTACTAATACTTTTAATCGAATTTTACTTTATTATGTTTGTTAGTAAAAGAATAGTTGTCTGAATTTGATTAATTTTTGTTTATTGATAGCTATCATGAACTTCATTTTTTTTGGACTTTATTTCCTTTTGATAATTTGGTATGTATATGTATAAAGAAGTTTAAGGTTGTTTTTGAGATGTACTTTTGTTACGCATCCCTATGGATTCCAATAATTATGTTATTAAAATACAAAGCTTTACTATTTCTGATGCAAACAAATGACAGACACAATTGCTAAAAAGGCTTCCTACAAGGACAGCTAAATGTACCCTACTCCTATCTCGGAAAACTTGATTTAATATTGTACATTACAAACGGAAATCCAAAACATATTGTGTATCCGAAAACGACTTCAATAAAGAGAACAAACTCAAATTCTTTAAAAAAAATTCGACTATTATAAATATTCCTATACATTTTTTTCGACAACCTTTTCATTTCAAAAGGTTTCGCTTTTTTATAACTCGGTTAACATACATGACCAAGGCAAGGTATCAACTTCTTCTTCGGGAATAACTATTATAATAATTACTGGTAGCCAAAACGCTCGTCCCTTGAAAGTCCTCCTTTATGTGTCATTTTAAAGAGCAGTATATCGCCTAGCTTGGTTCTAACTGGTTTGATCTAAATTTTGAGAAAAAATCAGTTTGAATATTCTAGTATCCTAATATATTTATATTTAAAAAAAAATCTTTCGGACTAAAGCTCCCTCAAAATAAAATCCAGGATCCGTTAGTGATTATAAGTATGGATTTGGTTGAATGTGGTAACCGTTCAGTATTTAGTATAAAAAAATCTGTTGCGGTGGTGAGCGCATCACACAACTATCACTTACCATCCTTTTAGCAGAAATAAGTATTTTCAGACGAAGGGGAAATGAAAGCAAAAATTATAGAAGCTATATTTATTTATATTTCATTTTTATATACAAATTTTAATATTTATATCGCTGTAATCTATTCAATTAAATATATCAAATAAATAATACCAATAATAGCATTTATGAAAACCACATATGTATTTTTATATAATATTGTCGGAGTCCGTAATATATTAAGCTTGTGTTACGAATGGAAGCGTGTTCTAATCCTTCGGGCGAGCTCGGGTGCGCTCGTGTTCCTTCGGTTCCTCAATTACAACTATTCTCTGTTACGATCTCTTATTTCTCCTTTAGTTAATTATCAAATTCTTTCATATTTTATATTTATCTATCTTATATATTAGAGATTAGTGTGTAATGGTCAATTGTTTGAAATAGAAAAAAAATAAAGGTATTTTAGAGGAAGCTAATATTGAAAATTAGACTTTACCCCCTGTGAGAGAACATCATTTAGGATAAAAACTACATTTTATTAAAAACTGCTTAATTTTTCACTGATATGATGAATTTAATTAAAATCGTTAAAACCTTAATTTTTTGTCTCTAAATATTTAGAGATTCTCCATTAAAATCCTTTTTTTTCAACAATATAAAAGTAGAAAACATTAACTACAATTATTAATCATCACATTATACGACTTTAATTCTATTTATATGTTAGATATTGATTCTTTTGTAAAGATATAATACAGAGTTTTTATATTATACTTTATATTAGTCCTCTTTACTGAGGTTTGTTTTTTTTTTTTTTCAAATTTTCAAACTGTAAAAAATAGTTTTTTGTTTTTTGTCTCCTACAATTAATTATAAAATTTATACTTTGAATATATTTATTTTTATTACAAATAGCAATGGGAGACGGTTAATTATTTCTGACATACAAGAAAGTAAAGATACTTCAAGAAACAATTTTCAGATTATTGTATTTTATTTATTTAATTTTATATTATATTTGCAACTGTGTTTGGACGCATCTAGTGCGGTTGTTCTTTATATCTGCTATTTCTTGAAAATTTGTCCGTATTGTGAGCAGATCCCGAGGCCACTGCCTTTTTAGTCTTCTTCGAAGTTCCCCTGGTAACAGGCAGGAAGAAAAAGAGAGGACAAATGGATTAGATTAATTAATAGTTGAAGTGTGAAATGTGGTGTATTTGTTATGTATGTAGGTTTTTACTGTTGGAATGTAGTGTTGCTGTGTATGGTGTGGGGGGTACATTAAAGATTTTTCGAAGTATTTTGAACGGTGTAGTTTGTATTTTGTTTATGTTGACGTGTTTTGCGGAATCCCAAAGTTCTGCTCAGTATGTTCAAATATTTCGCGGTATGGTGGTGTAAATTTGTCGATTATTTTGTTAAGTTGAGTGGAGATCTGCACTAGCGGATCCAGGATTTAATTTTGGGGGAGGCTCCAGACCGAAGGATTTTTTAAATATATATATTAAACGATAATTAATTTGAAAGAAACTATCTACGCATATGACATGGTGTCTTAGTGATCCTTGAAGTCCTATTAAATAAAATTACAGGAACAATAATACTTTAAGAGATAGTTTTTAATATTTTTTTCTATAAAACATGGTTATATTTTACCATTTTGGGGGGAGTGCTTCAGCCCAAAGTGGAAGTGCTTCGGAAAGGGGAGTGCTTCCCCCGTAAATCCGCCTGAGGGGATCTGTAGTCCAACAGATGTGACAGTTGTTTGTATCGTCTGGTCATTTTTTTTTTTTTTAATTTGGTGTGTATGTTCCATGCGAGTTTTTTGTCCAAGTATAGTCCGAGATATTGTACATGCATTTTTGAGGGAACTGGCTTGTTCTCTATTGACACAGGAGACGAAATTTTTCTCAGTAAAAAGCTAACATGGCACGAGTTTTTTTCTCGTGTGGAGACGATTTTTGAGGGCAACTGAAGCAATATTAGGATTTTTGTGGGATGTAATAATTGCAGTGTGGTCAGCGAAACTATAGAGGGTGGTAGTAGGATGCTCGGGAATATCAGACGAGTTGAGAGAAAAGAGAATAGGACTTGTACTACGCCCGCAAGTTGCAGGAAAGGAAGAAATTGAGGAATATACAGAAACTGTCGAGGAAGAAGGATTGAAGTATAAGAAAGTAAGTAAAAGGAATGTGCGGTTTTATTTTCCACAATAGACTTTTGTGTCAGACGCTATCAAACTCTTTCTCAATGTCTAGGAATGTCGCTGAGCAGTATTTTTTTTTCTGGAAGGGGTCTGAGATTGCGTCCACCATACGATGGCACTGTTAAACGATGGAGTGATTCGAACGAAAGCCAAACTGGTGATTCGGTATAACTCCCTGGCTTCCAAAGATTGACTTTATTGTTAGAAGAAATAGGTCCTTGAATATTTTTCTCATTATAATTAGTAGTGCAATAGGACGATAAGCTGAAGGATTACTGGTGGGTTTAGAAGGTTTTGGAATCATTTTTATAGAAAGTTTCCAAAGGAGAAGGAAATGAGTTATGCGTGAGATAGCATTATAAATATGAGTAAGAAAGAGAACAGTTTTTCGAGGTAGGTCGTGAAGGATGAAGGCAGTGATCAGATCATTGCAAGGAGCTTTTTTGTTTTGAAGTCATTTGATTGCCTTGTGAATTTCTTTTGGATGAAATGCCGGAGGAGGTAGCGATATGGGTAGTAGTGTTTTCAAGTCGTCTTATTAAGAATATTTAAATAGTAATTTAAATAAAGAGTTAAATCAAAATCGAAAAATATTGTAAGATCCATGATATAAAGTGGTAAATCTGGAGATATTTAAATTCTGTAATATCCTAGGAATTTGCTTACTTTATTATCTATTTTAAATTTCGCACAAATTTTTTTGTTTTTAAGTTCACCACTTTGTGATACTTCATTATTTCAGCTCAATGAACATTAAAGCTTATGTTTTTGATTTTAAAACATCAATCAATTGAAATTTTTATTATTAAAGCTGAATTTTGGCCCAAAAAGGAGATAATCCTCACGGAGTTCGCGAGTCGGATCTGTTTATATGTATTCCACATAATTTGCTGGTAATCCTTTACAGTCATTTTTTTCCATTTTAAACGTATACATTCTCCCGTTATTTCTTGATATGAAAAGGAGTTAAAAAGAACTAGAATTTTATAAAGAAATATTTTAATACAAGAAAGCCATCTTGGATGTCATGATTCATGAGTGAAGTTATTATTAGAATGAAGTATCAAAATAGAAGTACGGTAGCCATGGATATTTGACACAAAAGTTTCCTGTTAACTAATTGAGAAAATAATTATATCCAAGTATAAACTGGAATGGAAGTACAGAAATAGTTTTTACAACTTTTGGGAACATTTTAGGATTTTGCAATAGATGGTGTGAGTAAACTTAGTAAATTGTCTACAGAATGCCACATACTAAATTTTAGGGGAAAAAAGATATGTGCGTTTGAAATAAAATATGATTCTTAGTTGGAAAAATCGTTTAATGAATTCGATATGAATATTATTTAAAAACAGGTTTTCGTTGACATAACTTCCATACAATCTAAAATATACTATGTGTACGTGTTTAGGTTGTTAGGTTTAGTTTCCGGCCCATTGCTTTTGATATTGGTTTTTCTTAAATGTTTATACTATCCGTGAGAGACGAGGTAAATCGAGTGA